CTTGTTAGACCAGGAGTGCCCAACCAGATGATTGTGGTTGACCGGTGGCCAAGTCAACCGCAAGGGTCACCGATGGCACTGTCAAAGAATCCTATCTGGAGCACCAGGAGCGGCATTTTTAAAAAATTGAGCTCCGATAGTGATGTTTCTGCACTTAACACGCTACAAAATTGCATCCTTGCCGCCCTGTGTCAGCTCTCCCACTCAGGCAGGCAGTGATTTCCTTTGTACAAACTCACTCTTATCTTGTATTTCGTTTATTTTTCTTTGATTTTCTTACTCGTCTTTCCTGTTCCATCCACCACGTGTGCCATATAAACGTTTCCATTTCTTGAAATGAGAATATGAAAGCACAAAATGTAAATAAATCTCAGGTTTACTTTAAATTTTTTTGTTTTAATGCGCTTCACACGTTTGCTGTGTGCCGAGAATGTGAGAGCAGTGCACAATCGCTGAAGTGTGCCTTTTTGCCATGCCAGCCCCCGACCCTTCTATTTTTTTTTTTGCATGTGCTTGTTTGTGATAACCTGTCAATGGCCATATAATGGTGACAATGTTATGTAACTCACACCCTCCCCCTTAAAAAAAGAAAGGGTTAATATCATCAACAGCAAGTGTGTGGATGAGAGAGGGGAGAGAAGCAACCGGTCAGAAGCACCATCCATAAAAACACAGACAAATCAGGCAGTTTGAACCCCTTTTACATCCGCCTTCTGAATTAGCTCTCATACACACTGCCAATTAAACAATAAAATTCCGTTTTTACATGCCACGGGAATTTTCGAGCTGCTCCTGAACCCATCATTCACGATGGCACGCGCAGGAGCTGTGAGACACACAGAGCGTGTGTTTGGACATACAGTACACAATTAGAGCTGATCTCATGTTCAACAAACAAGCTCTGGAAGTTGAGTCAAACGGTTACACTCTGATAAAGCGGAGACATGAATTAGTAATATTCAGGCATCATGTGAGGTGAAGTGAGTCGTTCATGATTGTGAAAAGCTCACCGACAGGGAGACGTCTGACTGCATGCTCCAGCCCCTTCATATCGAAAGTTACAACATTTGAACATACTAGGTCTTGTGGAGTCAACTCAGGGCCCAAAACGCAGGCGATTATTACCAACCATACTGAGGAAAAAATAACACTTTTGCGTTTACTCCCACTTTTTGACTGCGGGACTCAAAAGACCTCCAACTGTTTCTACGCACACAAAAGGCCAATTCGTTCAAACATTGTTCACAAAACTGTCGCAATCTGAGTTGAGTGAGCATTTCTCCTTTGTCGCGATTATCCATCCAAACTCACAGCTATGGCGTAGATCAAGATGCCAATTAGACACCGTGATTATTGCACAGGTATAAAAGACCACTTGGAAATGTGCAGTATTTTGCTTTATTGTGGTCTGCGGTTGTGAGGCTGGATATGCGGCCAAACTGTTTGAAATGCTGAGCTGGATTAAGGCAGAGAAATGAACATTGGACTCAAAGGCAAGATCTCTGATGGACATGCATGTGCATTCAAAACTTCTTTGGCTTTGAGTCACCTTTTATTGGGTCCAGCCAAAGGCACACCTGTGCGATTTTCATGCTGTCTCATCAGTGTCTTGATATGCCAAACCTGTCAGGTGGGATGGATGATCTCGACAAAGCAGAAATGCTCACCGAACAGATTTCCACAGCTTTGTGAACAATGTGTGAGGGGAAATGGCCTTTTGTGTATGGCGAAAATGTCTGAAATAATTGAGCTTGTGAAAAATAGGAGCCTGTGAATGGTGTGGTGCTGATGTTTTTGCTCGGTGTGTGTACTTGTAAGCTAAATTTATGCGAAAAAAACAAAAAGCTTTCTTTATTTTTCGACTCACGCTTTGTGTTCAGTGCTATGCCAATATAGTGTGTATGGAACACGGTCCTGAAACCTGTTGTGTATTTGCGAATGAATGATCCTCACCCCATCTTCTGTGTTGTGATTTCAGGTTTTCGGTGTGCCTAAGTAGATTTCAAACTGCCGAATGGCATTCTTTAAGTTTGGGAATGACTGCATGCTTTGAGTTTGACTCGGCCAAAATGTTGATGAGTTTTTTGGAAGCCCAGTCTCAATTCTTGATTTTGTCTTACTTAAAACTCTGAGGCGGTTATGCACTTTTAAGGAAAGTTCCCCAATATGAGAATCGATATGTGTGTGGGTGTGTGTGTGGGTGTGTGTGTATATATATATATATATATATATATATTAGAGCTGTCAACCGATTAAAATATTTAATCGAATTAAAAACGCAACTGTCAGAATTAACTCAAATTAACTCATAATTAATCGTGATTACTCACATTTTTTTATCGTTTCTGAATTTCCTTTTATATTTTTTTGGCCTATTTTTTCCCGTTTTAATGCTCTCATCAACATGGAATCATGAATCAGTTTTCTATGTGCAAAATGCAAATATTTACGGAAATAGCAATTTCGATTTTCAATTTTACATGAACATTTTTCACTTGGAGCAGTTATTCACAGAATCTCATGCAATATTACTGTCCATCAACAACAGTGAAAAAAATATTTTGTCACACAACAGCTGCTTTAACAGTGGCAGTGTGAAATTGGGCGTGTATGGTTGTGAGCCAGTGCCAGCTGACTTTTGGACAGAGGCAGTGTGGTCACCAATCAATCACAAGAGACATACTTTGTACATACAGATGAAAAGAAAAAAAAAACATCCACATGCACACCTCAGAACAATTTGGAGCCTTAATTATCTTAACATGCATGTTTTTGTAATGTTGGACGAAAAAGGGAGTTCCCTGAGAAAAACCATCAAAGTACAAGGAAAACATACAAACTCCACATAGAAGGACCAGTCGCCAGCCGTGCTGCCCTGAATCGCAGATGTAAAGTTCATTTTATTTTTTTACTGGCAATTATTTGATTCAAATATTAATGCGTGACACAAATTGTAGTGTTTGGCAAAATATGGGTGAAGTGAGGTATTGTGATGGCTGGAGTGTGGGAGGGTTTTCTGGCAGATTTTAGTGCAGTGATGTAAACGGGTACCAAATAGAGTTGTGAATGGCTGACAGAAATGAAGCAAGTTTGAAGACGAACCTAAAATTGTAACTGTGAGTAAATGACTTGCCTAAAATAGTCACTGAAAAATATTTGGTTCATGATTTTTTTTTAAACTGTTTTTGTGCATCAACATACTGGTGTCTCAGCAGCATAGTATTCACTGTGTAATTTAATTTCTTACCAAAAATTGAGTATCGATATCTATGAGCAGGGTGTGAAAGAGATGTACAGTATATTGTTCTGACCAGACGGTAACATCCTTGCAGGTCTTTTCAATAGCAGGAAGCAGGAATGAGAGGAGGTGGGCAATGGATCGTTGAAATTGAAACGCAACAAAAAAACTGCAATGGTTTTGTTGGCGATGCATGACTTGGAAAGTGCAACAATCATCACTCCTTTGAACAGAACAAAATGAAATCGCAGGCGATCTCTACAGTCATGAGAATATAATAGTAAAAAGAAATAATAATAACATTTTAATGTACGACTCAGTAATCAGAAGCTGGAGACAGAAAGATTTCAATGAAACTCACATGGTTTGTAAAACTGATTCAATACAAAAAACTAAACGTTGAGGTCAACAGCAGGACAACGCTGACAATTCATGGAGTTGATCACTCGAAAATTTCAAACCTGAAAAAGAACAACTCAAACCCTAACTGACCCGGATGTGAAGAGTCATTCTACTTTGTTACCTCAAGCGCTTTTCACCAGACAAAGAATCAAAGCTATGATGAATAATGACTATTTGTACTAGTTTAATGAAAACCCATCGTACTCCATAACTACTTCCGAAAAGTTGATTGACTAAGCCACGGAGGAATGTTCATTGTGAAAACAGTTTCTTGCATTTGCTGGATGGTTTTGGTTCAGTAACTATTTGTACAGCGCAGTTCTGCGAAACATTTTCTGATCAATGTTTGATTCATACCAGAAGTGAAAAAGGTGCTCAGCTGGAATAATTTCCACGGTTGCTTCACTGCTCTTGCCGTTATACTCGTAGTTCAAGTTTGTATCTTGTGTCAAGAGATTCTCGTTCCAGAAAAGTAAAGGATTGTCTACTACATCATGTGGCTGGTCTGTTTTCACTTGTTACAAACGGTTTGGATCTTGTGGCCAACTCTCCATATTTGATTAAATAAACTTCATTGCACAGTATCATCTTAAGCGACACTGCTTCCTTATTGTTTTTATTCTGTTATATCGAGTGCAACCGATATTTCAGGGACAGCACCTACTACAGTGGACAGCTTATCATGTTATCAGATGACAGGTTATCATTATTGGTGCAAGAAAGGGTTAACATTGCGGTACCAACGATTTTGTCCATACGTGTATATAAGGATATCAAGCGCCAAAAAGTTAAAAATTAGAGCTGTCAGTTTAGCGCGTTATTA